TGACTTTGTCTGTCACCGTTCGGAAACCCATAAAATCTTATCGGTCTTATAACTTTATCCACTACATAGATTCGGAAATTGAAGGCAACAATGGGAAAGTTTCCATGAATAGTTTGGGTCTGTGTAGGCTTCTGCTTGAGCTGCTAGTTGTTCCACATTTAACGCATTTTCCAATAAATAGACACTAACAGTTCACTGTTTATGTAGAGCCCATTAAGGTGACCCCGGAGATAAAGCGGGAGTCGTCCAGACGGGCGGCCCGCAAATTGGAAGAAGCGCTGAAGATAGAGACGAGCGCGAAGAAGGACAAGATGAAGAGGTTCGACAAGGCGAAGCCCAAGCCGACCAATAATGGGCATTTGAAAGCCAACAATTTTAGTCAACAAAGTTCAACGGTGTTCTCCAATGGGTGAGTTTTCTGGGGCTTCTATTCAAAGGTCGGTGTTTTTATTGCGTTCTTGCTTACAGCGAGCGCCCGCGAAAGCGCCATGTGTATGCTCCAATCATACGCAGGATAGAGATGAAGGATATACAGGATGGGAGGTTTGATGCGGTGAAGAACTTGCCGACGAATTCTATCTTTAAGTCGAAAAGCAGCCTGTCCAATAGGTATGATTTAGTTATTTTTTTAGTTTTCCTCAGTTGCATTACATTTCGGGTTTGTGTTTGCAGCGGAAGGCCCGCTGTGTTTAAAGGGGGCCGTTACGACTTCACGGACACTTCGTAAGTACCTATTTACAACAATTCGAATTTTGCTGTCCCATATAAACGATAACTTTGGATTGGCCTTCGAGGCCATTCCTTGAAACTGGTCAATTTTTCGGGATTAAAGACGGTCGTGCAATATAATTTCTTCCGCACGTTTCGCATGGACGAGTGCCCTGCTTCTTCAGAGGTGGCTTGCGGCGGTGAGCAAACCACTGTGAAGCGCAAGAAATTGTTTTCCACCACGGCCTAAAAGCCCCAGAGAAAAACTCAGCAGTTTCAAGCAATGAGTGGCAGAAAAGACACTGTTTATACACTGAAAACTTTGTGGTTTAGGGAAGATACAACTGTGCGCTACGACTGACAAAGCGACTGGATAACGTTGGTGGGACTTCCAGTTGTGTCCGGTCCAAACGCGCCAGTGTTCACCTGGGGCAAACCGGGCGAAACCCGATGAAACTGTGCGAGACACCAAAAACATGTATGTAAATTAAGCTAGCGAATAATTGAACAGATACGTAGTAGTGATAGATTAGAAATGAATTAAGTGAAAATGGGAGCTTCTTGCTCTGGATGCTGAGCGTCCCGTAATTGATTAGTTAAATTATTTTTGTGCAAATAGTGCGCGCGTCTTTTTACTGTAAATAGTTGCATGTTATTTCTATAAGATCCTTTGTACAGAAGTCTGATGTGTCTTTATATCAGTTGGTAGTGCTCTGGATGTTAATTTTCGGCTATTGAGCGCCCGTCGGCTGCAAACCTGTACATTTTATACAGCGACAATTGGAGGTGTTTTTTGCACTTTAACGCATTTGCTTTTATGGTTTTGTAATATTTATATAAATTGAATAAATATTTTCAATAGTTAATCGAACCTGGGTGACATTTCCGACAAAAGCGCCCTCCCGGTCTCCCTTTTTTCGGCCACTTCTCCTATATTCACTACAGAGGGTGCACCAATCTCCGTTAACTGGTTTCTTAGGCGATGTATTAGAGGCATTTGAAATGAAATATATACACTTTAATATTTATTAA